TATAGTTTCATTCTTTCTTCTAATTTCTATCAGATTCCTAGAATACTCCAGTGCTACAATTGCCTTTATAATAATTTAACTCCATGTGTTTGGCTGTTTTCTGCAGAAGTTCAGCAGCTGCTGGAGATGAAAGAGGATCACCCTGAATGGAGCCTCGGTCTGGACCAGCAGGACCGAGAGTCTCTGCAGATAAAGGAGGAACAGGAAGAACTCTGGACCAATCAGGAGGGAGAGCAGCATAATGGATTGAAGGTGACTGATGTCACCACTTTCCCATTCACTATTGTCACTGTAAAGAGTGAAGATGATGATAAAGAGAAGTCTCAGTCTTTGCAGCTTCATCAAAGCCAAACTGAAGACAACAGTGAGATGGAGCCTCTGACCAGCAGCCCAGCTAAACAGGTAAAAACAGAGCCTGATGAAGAGGACTGTGGAGGACCAGAATCAGAAGGGAACCTTGATACACACATTTATTTACAACCAAAAACTGATGTAAAGGCTTCAGACTCTTCTGAGACTGAAGTGAGTAATGATGATGATGACTGGAAGGAGCCTGTATCAGATTCTGGACCTAAAACCAGACACAGTGATGATGTTTGGAAGGTGAGCAGGGAATTTGAGTCAGGCATAAAGAGTCAGGGGGCATTTAACATTTTAAACAAATCCTTTAGCTGCTCAGAGTGTGATAAAGAGTTTCTCCAAAGGCAGTCTCTTCAAAAACACATGACATGCCATTCAGAAAAATTATCTTCCAGCTCCAGCTCGGAAATTAAGAAATCTCATACAGTGAGGAAAAATGTAGAGTCTCAGAGGACAGACCACACCGAAGAGAAACCATTTGGCGGTAATGTTTGTGAAACAACTTTAAGACAGCGGTATAGTCTTGACAGACACATGAGATTCCACACAGGAGAGAAACCATTTAGTTGCCGTATTTGTGGAAAAAACAAAACAAAAAACATGTGGATATCAGTCTAATCTTACTCAACACATCAGACTCCACACTGATGAGAAACTATTGGGCTGTGATATTTGTGGACAAAGTTTTAACCAAAAGGCACATTTTAATACACACGTTAGTGTGTAGTTCACACAGGAGAGAAACCATTTGGTTGTAATGTTTGTGAAAAAAGATTTGGAAATCAATCTAATCTCAAGAGTTCACACAGGAGAGAAACCATTTGGTTGTGATGTTTGTAGCAAAAGATTTTCATATTCAGGAGATTTGAAAAGAAACCAGAGTGTCCATACAGTAGAGAAACAATTTAGTTGTGATGTTTGTTGTAAAAGATTCAAGCTGAAGATGCATTTCAAGGCTCAAAGAAAAGTCCACACAGCAGAGAGGCCATTGGGTTATGAGCCATATAGCTGCGAGGTTTGTGGCAAAAGATTTAACCAAAACACTCATCTTAAGTCTCAAATAAGAATCCACACACGAGAGAAACCTTTCTGTTGTAAATCTTACAACAGAAAGGTTTCTCTTGTGTGTGGATACAAAGAAATATAGACATTCTTCTACTTTCACTAAACACATAAAAATTCACACAGGAGAAAAACTTAGATGTTTAGATGTGATGTCTTTGGTAAGATATTTACTAATCACGAAAGTTTGAAGATTCACAAGATAGTCCATACTGGAGAGAAACCATATGGCTGTGGTGTTTGTGGCAAAGGATTCAACCGAGGAGGCAATCTAAAGAGGCACATGCAACTTCATGTGGGAGAGAAACCATTTGGCTGTGAAGTGTGTGGGAAGAACTTTACATGATCAGAAAAACTGAAAAGACATGTGAAAGTTAATGTAAAAGAGAAACAGTTTGGTAGTGCAGAAATTTTTATGTGACAGGGAAGTCTGAGACACATGGGGACATGTTAATAATGTTTCCCCAGTTGTTCACATTTCCATTATTTTGTACAATTAATTGCTACATAAATATAAAACAGTGATAATAGTTGTACTTGGGGTAATATACAATCTATCATTGGTAAATCAGTACTTATAGGTAAGAAATTAGACCTCAGTTAATTTATATCAGGAGAGATAGTTGGAGAAGATCGCCTTTAGGACTTTCTGTTAGCTTTCTGGATGTCATAATGATCAAGAAAGCCACTATAGGCTTTGGTGACTAAATGGGTCAAAGACAAGACTTTTACAAATTAGAGTGAGCCTTAATCCCACTGTGAAATGTATCTATTTCTGTGTTTACTTTTTAAAAGAATTTGTTTGACATGATTTGAGTTGAAGCAAACTTTCTTGGGAATATAATTTTATTTTGCACACAAACAGTTTTTGGCCTTGGATTTCTACCAAAAGAAAATCACCAGTACTCTGCTATATATAGTTCTAAATAAGGTTTAATATACTTAAACTTGGACTATAATTTTATTAATTATATGACCAACAATGTGAAACTGTATGTAGTTTTTTTTTTTGTTGCCTTAAGCCCCAGTCACACAGGCCTAGAGACCAGTTGACTATCCTCCTGCCAATCACTGGTCGCTAGGGTAAACTGTGTAATCCCTGACTGCTTGGCAAGTGGTTGCTGGCTGTCACTAGCTAAAATTAATGGCAAAGAGGTGTGTTGTGTTGCACCAAAAACCTCATAGCGATTGCTTTGGTTGCTAGCGGATTGTTACCCATAGTTTGCATGGACGCAGACACTCAATAACTACTTGCCGAGCGGACAGCGGTACTGGTTGGCGACCTTGAGAGCTTTTAATCACTTGACCTCTAACTGTAAATACAGGTGTGCCGACAGCGCCAACAAGTCTACAGCCAGTCACCAAACATGATGCAAAAAAACGTGTCAAGATTCAGCATCCCGCCAATGGAAAGGAGGACTGCACGTAGATCCATGAAGGGAAGAGGGAGATGGCAGAAGTGCCTGCCTGCCAGTTCCAGTTCGGACATCACTCTAGCAACCTCTCAATACCAGAAGGACTCAGATGAAAACAGTGACCCCTCGCTGTCACTCATTGCTAACGTGTCACACACAATGCTGGAGCCGGGCTCCTCAGCCAGCCTGCACGGACGTGTTGGCCACAGAGTTGTGACCGGGGAGCCAGAGTTGGAGATAGAAGATGAAAAGCCAATGGTGTCGCATTGGCCTGGGGCCAAGAAGAGGATCCGGATGGAGCCAGAGGCGACTCTCTCGCCCGAACAGGAAGACCACCTCGTAGAGTGGTTTGCAGCTCACCCCTTCTTCTACGACCAGACAGCACGCGACTTCAAGGACAAGCGCAGGCGAGAGCAGCTGCTGGATCAGAAGGCCGAGGAGCTAGGAGTTACCGGTGAGCTATGTGTCTGTAATTTCTGTTGATGCTCAGTATCTTAAAACACTCTAACGTTTTTTATCTTTTTTTAAACGGGACATTTATGTTTGTGTTTTTTTGTTGACTGTGCTCAGGGAACTTCCTCTGGGGGTGGTTCCGCAACATGCGGACCGTCTATGGGAAACTAAGGAAGAAGAAGAATGAGCAAGCGACACGACCACTGACAGCCAGGCAGCGGTGGACTTCAGATATGTTCAAATTCTTGGACAAGCACATGACCATCCGCAGGAGCAGCCTGGGAAAGGTAGAGTAATATGTCCTTTTGTTTGTTTGTTTTTCTCCCTTGTAACTGCTCTGTTTAATGGTTAAGTTAAGCAAAAGTAAATGTGCTATAAAATGTCTGCACTTGCTCTGCCACCTGAGCTACAGCCACATCTCACGGGGTGGCTGTAGCTCAGGTGGCAGAGCGGATCAGCCACTAACCAGAAGGTCGGTGGTTCAATCCCAGGCTGCTCCAGTCTGCATGCCAAATATCCTTGGGCAAGATACTAACCCCATGTTGCTCTCCGATGCATCCATCGGAGTGTGAATGTGTATGAATATTAATAATACTTAAACTTAGAAGTGCTTGTGTGAATGGGTGTGATTGGGTGAATGAATTAGCTGTATAAAGCACTTTGAGTGCTCGGACAGAGTAGAAAAGCGCTATATAAGAACCAGTCCATTTACCATTTGCCTTGTATGCATTTGATATTTATGTTAATGTTTGTTTGCTTGTGTTTAAAAAGCTTCAAGGGGCACAGTCCACCAATACCGGAGTGGAAGAGGAGGAGGAGGAAGAGGAAGAAGAAGAAGGAGACGAAGAGCCTGCGAGGTCATCAAGTCGTCCTGGGTCTCCGTCTCCTGTTCCCTCCAGTCAAACCCCAAAGTTAAAGGGCAAGAAGGCCAAGCTCGCCAGCCGCTGCGTCAACAAGGCAGTTCTTCAAATCCCAAACAGCATGTCCTCACTGCAGACGGCTATGAGGTCCCTGCAGGTAGCTATGGAGTCCCTGCAGGCAGCTGTTGGGGGGTTGAGCAACAACCGAGTCATGTACTGTCAATACCTGAGCACCGAGGTGGGCATGCTCACAGAGGAACAGTGGTCAATGTTTCAGCAGGAGACTATGGGGATGCTTATTCGTTTCCGTACTGCCCGTCAGCAGCGGCAGTCCTCAGTTCCAGTCCTCCTCCCTCCGGGCTCCATGGAGTCGATTCCAGGCCCGAGCAGCACTCTGCTCAGTAGTTCCTATTTCCAGTCCCGGCCAGCACCGCCCCAGTAGCCTCTGTCCCAGCAAATTAATTTTTTTATTGAATTTGTGAACTATTTCACAATTTATTTACTGATCATAGTTGAGTGTTTATGTTAATAAACAATCATATTTCACTGGTACTTACTTCTTGATTCCTTGTATCACAGTAGTAAAACTTGTGCCTTACAGCTGCAAGACATTTTAATTGGCGCAAATTTTACTTTGAGGCGGAAAGTCTCAGTTTCTTGTCGGTGTTATGTGTAAACTTGAAAAATAGAAAAAGCAGATGTTTCTCATTATATTGTACTTTATACATGGACCATTGTGACCTTTAAATTCTTATATTCTAAATTTGAAATTAAAATTTCAATTTCTTTTCATGTGAGTGGACTATCTTGTATTTTGTATTTATTACACTGGGATATAGGGATACCAAAAAAGCTAAAAATAATTGCCTTATTCATTCAAATCTCTCCACAGCCACACGTTAGCCTACCTGGTTAGCGCTCCAGCAGTGTTATAGTCATGCTTCAGGTAGACTCGCTGCCTTTTGTCATCATGACTTCCTGCTACGAATATCTTGCATGACTGCCTCGTCTCTCCAGGCTTTGGGAATAATGTGTTTGGCATTTTCCTCATGATCCAGGACTGAACACAACATTTAGACACATGCGGACACAATCAAACTGATGGCATTTGGCATTTGTTGAAGTTCTGTGAAGAGACAACAGAAGCTGTGGCCAAGTATGTCTTTTTTGTTTTCCACCATATTTATGCTTGACGAAAGTTGGTAGCTAAGGATTCTCTGGTGAACTGTCAAACATTGACTGTCAGTACTCCGCACTCCATCAAGTGCCAAACTTCTTACTCACCTCTTGTCAACTGTCAAGGGTGCCTGGCATAGACGTGACACCATCTTCAGGGTGTCTACAGTGGCACCACAGAACAACACCAGAAATGGCGCTATACTAATCACAGACAGAAGACTAGAGTGCGATAGCTGCTGGTAGTCACCAGGTACTGGGAAGTCGATGCCATTTTCAAGCCAGGTTAAAAGGACAGCTGCAGTTAGAAGATGTCTTTGTCAGGCAGACGATCTGCAGAAGCACGTGATACATGGCAGACTTAATTCTCAGGGATTAAACAAAGACAACCCTCTCGAATTCTGCCATCAAGTTTTCTTATTGAAGTACTGAATTCAGTATGTTACCAATGCCTGAGGATAGCCATCACTACATTAAGGATGGAGAGTAAAGAGACATAATGAGATCTGAATTGTCCGGCAAGGTGAGTAGGACTGGAGTTGCTCTGAGGATCCTGCTACATATACCCAGTCTGGGTTGATCTCCCACCAGGTGCTGACCACTGAAGAGTAGTTACCTGCCAATTGGTAGGGGAGGTCCACAACCAGCAACCAATCTGAGACGATTCAGTTGCACAACCAGTTGCCAACCACCTAGCAAATGAAATTATGAACTTCACTTGATTTAGTGGTTGCTGGAGGTCATGAGTATTTGGGGCTGCCCACAGGTCTCTACGCCTGTGTGACTGAAGCATTAAATTTATCTGCAGCACTCGTGCTTACCTGCATTGTCAACCACTGAAGACACAATTTAAGAAAGAATATTAAAACACAAACTCAACATATTAGAAAACCTTTCTGGCAGAAAACCCTCAGGTTTGATTTCTGCAGAAGGCAGCAGCTGTTTTGGGCTAAACCGAACACAGTGAGTGGGATCTTTAATAAAGTTTAATAAAAATGCAATACTTGTTTCATTATGGATATAAATCAGCAGCACCTTAGATAAAGCTTTACCAGTACCAGTATGTTGGATGTATCTGCTGAACCAGCGCTTATTTTGGGCATCAGGTTCGCCTGGGAACAGTTTTAAACTCTGAACGACACAGTTTAGTGAGCAGAACTCGATATCGGATTAATTCAGTGGTGTATTTCAATGTTGTTAAAATTTTGATGACTTTTTTTTTTTTTTCATTTTCAATATTTTTCATGAGCATTGTAATTTAAATGGCAAAAGCAGTGTAATTCTGGGTGTAAAGGTTCCTCCAGCTGACTGAGTGTATTTGTTAGCAACTGGGTAATCAGTCATGTATGTGTAATGTCAAACAGTATGATTAGTCATAATCATACTGCACAGTCATGTGGAGGACCAGAGCTCCCAACAAAAAATAAATAAAAGACTAAAACAAACAAATTAATTTGCCTTTAAAACAAAGAGTGCTAAAATAAAAGTAGGCATGAATTAACACGTAAAATGTGACCAGTTGATATTTCTCTTGTATTTGCTTTTTGTGTTTATTTCTCAGTTTGCTGTCGCTTGTAATGTTCATTTAGATAAATCTGTTTCATTTTCTTTGTTTCTTGAAACATTTACGTCTGTCTTCTTTTTGTGATGATGAAATGTAAACTAGACCCATTTAAATTCTTAACTGAGCAACTAAAATTCTTTAAGAAGCAAAAATTCAAAATGTGTATGTCATGTTGTTGAATGCATTTTCTTTCATAAAACAACATTAAATACTTGACCTGTGTTTCGTAGTCACCAGTCTTCTTCTTTAATGGCTTTGTTTGTTTGTTAGGAGTTAGGAGTTTTGTTTTTGAACTATTTCAAGTTTTGAGGCTTTAAACTCTTTGCAAATGGCCTCATTCTAATTTTATTTACATGTTGTATTCCAACATTTGGAAACAAGTTTAAATTTAAAAAAAGTGGGTAGAAGAGGAACTGCATCCTTTATAAACAGTGCTTCATTATATCTAATTTTATTAAATGGATGCTCAGTATAGTTATATGCACGGACCTGTTACAGGACACATCTTCAGAGGACGATTTGAATATTTAAGATTAAAAATAGCATCCACCGGATTGTTTTTTTGATGCTCAAATTTGTATTTTGAAGAAAGAAAACGGCTTCTTTTGGGGTGTTTTTATTCTTTAATAAAAAAATTTTTTTAAAAAATAATGACTGAAAATAAATTACGATTTAAGATAAACCGTTTTATTAAACAGCTAAGGATGCAGCAAAAGTAACACAATAATTGTTTTTTTTACATTATGCATCTTAAATTTGTTCTTGTATTTTTTTGTGCGCTGTGCACATTTCACACAGTGCGTTATACTGTATATAAAAGACAAATAACCACATGTGTTATATAACCATGTGTGTTTATTGTACGTTAATAACTGTATTTGCGTTTTTATTGTTCTTAATATGGACGTTAAAATGCTTTGTCGCTGTGTAATGTCTTGTTGTTGTCTTTTACATTAAAACAACTTTTAAAAAACTGTAAGTGCGAATAACCTCACGCACAATATTGAACCACAATTATAACACATGTGCAGTGTGTGTGCTTAAGTAGTTCCATGTCATACTACTCGATATATTGAAACGACATAATGTATTCTGTGTCCACTACATACAAATACATAAAATATTATTCTACAAATGTGTTGTACAGTAAATGGTAAATGGCCTGCTTTTGTATAGCACTTTACTTAGTCCCTAAGGACCCCAAAGCGCTTTACACTACATTCATTCACACACTGGTGATGGCAGCTACATTGTAGCCACAGCCACCCTGGGGCGCACTGACAGAGGCGAGGCTGCTGGACACTGGCGCCACCGGGTCCTCTGACCACCACCAGTAGGCAACGGGTGAAGTGTCTTCCCAAGGACACAACGACCGAGACTGTCCAAAGCGGGGCTCAAACCGGCAACCTTACAAGACGAACTGCCAGCCCTTGAGCCACGATTGCTCCGTACAGTGTTATCATTAAGCTTGGTAGCAGTTTATTAAGTAATTAAAATTAACTGTTCGGATTTTTCACCATGGTGATAATCCCAAAATGATCCCAGACACGCTGCCAGTGCAGTAAACACATACATGGATATAAAAGCACAGAGTGGAGCCCTGTCGGTCATGGATCAGCCTCCCCAGAGCCCGGACCTCAACATTACTGAGGTAGTGTGAGATCATGCTGACAGAGAACAGAACAAAAGGCAGAAACATCTGAATGTTCTTAAAGAAACCTGGAGTATTATTCCTGAAGATCCTTTGAGAGCTGATAAATGAGCGACTCAGAGAGTTCAGACTGAAGAATAAAGGTGGTTGTGATGGCTGCAGTTACAGCCAGTGGTAATATCAGTGTAGAGGCTTACACACAACACAGCATTCACATTTGTCTTTCTTTAAATATAAGGTTTAATTTACAGGATAATAAATTACTGGTTTGGTTTAGAATTCATTCACATGACACCGTATTCTAAAATAAGTGCGCACATTTTAGTTTACACTGTTATGTATGATTTAATCTTTGTTTTCTGAGTTACCTTAGTTGCAGCTGCTCCAGTCCCTGGAAAAGGGGCCTTGATGGAAAACTGTGTTGCATCATTCCATAACTCGGGACCATGGAGTTCGTTATGTTAGTTTCAGTTAGGCTTTTTGTTTGTTGTGGGCTGATCAGCCACTATTTAATTTTCCCCTTTGTGTTGTTTAGTTAGCTCAGTTTGTTTGAGTTATCAGTATTGTTTGTTAACTTTGAGTAGAGTTCTGTTATTTTGACCTCTTTTATGGGCCCAAGATTATGATTTTTTTTATGTGATTTAACCAACTGTGTTTGGATTAAATTAAAAAAAAACTTTTTTTGGACTTTAACCTGTGCCTGACTTTCCTTCGCTGCTCGGTCCATCACAGTGGTCACACCAAATATTCCCTTTTAAGCTCATTAGAACTATGAAAACTCCGTTTTTATTTTGTATTTTTTAATCCTTATATACTAGATATACTTATATTCCATGTATGCTTGCACGTTTTAATAAGTCACTGCACCTATTTTATGTTTTCTTGGGGGATGGCTCAAAGTTTTGCACAGAGCTGCACTTGACCCATGAAAACATTCCTCTCACCATCATCTTTTTGATGAGCATCCTCATGCATCCCACTGAGGAAACCGTTTAGCCAGCAGAGACTAGGTAGGAACCTTCTGCTGGTTCTCCTGTGTTGCTAGGGGGAACAAAATACAGATCGGGTTGATCATCAAAGAAAGGTCGGCTCTGTGTTCGTGTGGACCCTCCTGATGGAGGGGTTGTTTTGTCCCTGTAGAACCGCCGCTGGAGCTGGATAATCGCTTTGTTTGGAAAGCCGAAGCCTGGAAAACAAACTGAGGATGAAGAATCATTTTTAAGAGGAAGAAAAGCGATGGAGCTGCAGACCTCACCGTCAGAGCAGCGAAAATACAAAGAAGCAAAACTAATCCTGGAAAGGACGCCTCAGGGAAGCACCAGGGTAGATCTCGGGCTCGCTTTCTCCAGGTGGGCTGCACTGAAGAGGGACAGATGCTTCCGGACTGACGCTGAACTGGCCGCCTTTCTGCTGGACTGGTAATTTAAACTACCTGTGTGATTAAAAATAGGGTGTAGGCATCAAAATAAGATCAACAACAGGATCAAATTAACCGAATAATGTAAAATGAATATCTGTGCGCATTGGTTGGGATTGATTTAATGATCAGTTTATTCAAATTATTTAAATGTTTAAATACTGCACGGAAATGGTGAAACAAAAGTGTCAGCTAGTCCTTTAACACCTGTGCTGCTACATGATTGGACAGATATTTATGTCCCAAACACACATGAATGTGACTGGTTTGCTTGCTGGTTAGAGATGGATAGAAAGGAGCCTGTAGAGGCACACACACACACACACACACACCCACACACAGAGTCACAGTTGCTCACTCAGCCTGTCAGTCAAGCTGACCTGCATCCTGCAGCACAGACTGCAGGAGAGCGAAGCATCTGCCCGTATGTTCACATGTAACGCTGGGCCTAAATCTCGGTAGTGTGTATGAAAATTTCACACAAATCTATGTGTCATTTCTACTTTATTCCCTGAACAACAACCACATCTACGAGTATTCTTGCTTGCCTGCTCCCTTTTTCTCAGACGGCTGCTCGAGCAGATGGATCCGCATGTTTGATTTACAGCAGATGGCCTCCACGACTCAACCCTCGCCAGGGATTGCTCTCTCCTCCCAGTCTCGAACCTGGAGATTTGCATGTGTTCGCCACAATACTGCTGAGCTGCTCTACACTGTGGATCCTACTGTTCAGAATTAGAATTAAAAGTAAATAGATAAAAAGATATTAAATTATATGTAAAACAAACAAACAAAAGAAAACTACTAACAGTTACATTTTGTTAGAAAAGGAGACATTTATTGAAATATGTGCAAGCATATATAGAAATGCAGGATATGAGGCAGAAACAAGTGAATATTTGGTGTGAGCACCTTTATTCTACAACACAGACTCAGCGTTTCCTTATTTATTAATATAGAAGCATGGTGTTTCATTTTTTTAATAGTACCAGCTGTCTGCTGCTGCTCCACGGAGAATGACCTCCAACTCTGACCGGACTTCTTGAAATAGAAAAGGGTCAGATAAACAAACTGTTGTTTGCAGGGTCGTGCTGGTTATCAGGAGCACTCTCGTCATGGTCATTGTGGCCTGCAGTGATCAGACTGTGTGCTGTGGGTGAGGGGCTCAGTGTTGGCACGATGCTGGGCTTGAATTCACCAGCCAGCCGGAGCCTTTCTCTCCATTTCTCTTCCTTTGCTTCTCCCCACAGTCCACAGACATGCATGTTAGGTTAACCTCTGATTCTAAATTATGCTCAGGTGTGAATGTAGCCATGCAACCTGGCAGTCTCTCTAGCACGTATCCCGATTTTCACCCTATTATGGCCGGGTTAGGTCACAGCTGGTATTTCAGTGTTATGCAGATGAGTCGTGTAGCTCTTGAAACTCTTCATTTGCTTTTGTTTTTGCAGTTACGAGAGCAGAGTCACAACATCAAGTTCCATGAATGGAAAACCTCCATCAGTCTCTCAGTGTGATGATTCTAGAGGGACAGAAAGGTGGGTCATCGCTCTGAAATAGCTCCTGTCATGTCACACGTGTGTGAAAGCACAAC